CAGTAAACTTTGTTGCAGTGCAGAATCTGGTAAAGCTCAAGCCATTTTGTGAGCTAATCCAACAAAGTCTTCCGGCAAGTTTAGCTTTGACATTTTCCTTTCTTCTTCTTTATACCGTTTTGAAATGAGTTGATTTTTGACCTGTCATGTGACAATGGCCAAGAAGCACTGAAAGAGTCAATTTCTTCTAAGACTGAATAAGGCACGTTATTAAAATAAGCATAGATGATCCCTAAAGCTACTCTGTCTCTCCATCTGCTTTACTTTATATCTACCTTAGGTATTTATATGGCTCCCATTACTGTAGTCTCTGAGCACCTCACAATCTGTAGTATATTTATCCTCAACACCCCAGGAGGTAGGGCAGTGCTATGATCCCCATTTTACAGATGAGGAAATAAGGCACAAAGAGACATGATGCAGATTTTTAAAAGTATTTAGGCACCTAATGGGAGTTTCCAAAAGCATCCGTCTACATCTTTAGGTGCCTAAATACCTTGAAAAATCTGGCCCTAAATGCTTTGACCAAGGTCACACAGGAAGTCTGGACAGAGCAGGGAATTCAAGCAAGGTCCCAGGCTAGCACCCTAATCACCAGATGATCCTGTTCCTCTACTCTGGAGTTTCTGCCTAAGACCTCCTCCTGCCCTACTTTACTGATATGGTTTTAAAGGAAACAGTACACATATACTCACAAACCACAACCCCAGTTAGGATGTGCCTTTGACATGTTTTTATATTAGATTATTGCTTTAACAGACAAACAGAGCCAGGTTTAAGCCAAAGTCAAGGAATTATGATGTGATTGGAATAACAGAGACTTGGTGGGATAACTCACATGACTGGAGTACTGTCATGGATGGATATAAGCTGTTCAGGAAGGACAGGCAGGGCAGAAAAAGTGGGGGAGTTGCACTGTATGTAAGAGAGCAGTATGACTGCTCAGAGGTCGAGTATGAAACTGCAGAAAAACCTGAGAGTCTCTGGATTAAGTTTAGAAGTGTGAGCAACAAGGGTGATGTCGTGGTGGGAGTCTACTATAGACCACCGGACCAGGGGGATGAGGTGGACGAGGCTTTCTTCCAGCAACTCGCAGAAGTTACTAGATCGCACACCCTGGTTCTCATGGGAGACTTCAATCACCCTGATATCTTCCGGGAAAGTAATACAGCGGTGCACAGACAATCCAGGAAGTTTTTGGAAAATGTAGAGGACCGTTTCCTGGTGCAAGTGCTGGAGGAACCAACTAGGGGCAGAGCTCTTCTTGACCTGCTGCTCACAAACTGGGAAGAATTAGTAGGGGAGCAAAAGTGGATGGGAACCTGGGAGGCAGTGACCATGAGATGGTCGAGTTCAGGATCCTGACACAAGAAAGAAAGGAAAGCAGCAGAATACGGGGCCTGGACTTCAGAAAAGCAGACTTTGACTCCCTCAGGGAACTGATGGGCAAGATCCCCTGGGAGAATAACATGAGGGGGAAAGCAGTCCAGGAGAGCTGGCTGTATTTTAAAGAAGCCTAATTGAGGTTACAGGGACAAACCATCCCGATGTGTAGAAAGAATAATAAATATGGCAGGTGACCAGCTTGGCTTAACAGTGAAATCCTTGCTGATCTTAAATACAAAAAAGAAGCTTACAAGAAGTGGAAGATTGGACAAATGACTAGGGATGAGTATAAGAATATTGCTCGGGCATGCAGGAGTGAAATCAGGAAGGCCAAATCACACCTGGAGTTGCAGCTAGCAAGAGATGTTAAGAGTAACAAGAAAGGTTTCTTCAGGTATGTTAGCAACAAGAAGAAAGTCAAGGAAAGTGTGGGCCCCTTACTGAATGAAGGAGGCAACCTAGTGACAGAGAATGTGGAAAAAGCTAATGTACTCAATGCTTTTTTTGCCTCTGTCTTCACGAACAAGGTCATCTCCCAGACTACTGCACTGGGCAGCACAGCATGGGGAGGAGGTGACCAGCCCTCTGTGGAGAAAGAAGTGGTTCGGGACTATTTAGAAAAGCTGGACGTGCACAAGTCCATGGGGCCGGATGCATTGCATCCGAGAGTGCTAATGGAGTTGGTGGATGTGATTGCAGAGCCATTGGCCATTATCTTTGAAAACTCATGGCGATCGGGGGAAGTCCCGGACGACTGGAAAAAGGCTAATGTAGTGCCCATCTTTAAAAAAGGGAAGAAGGAGGATCCTGGGAACTACAGGCCAGTCAGCCTCACCTCAGTCCCTGGAAAAATCATGGAGCAGCTCCTCAAGAAATCAATTCTGAAGCACTTAGAGGAGAGGAAAGTGATCAGGAACAGTCAGCATGGATTCACCAAGGGCAAGTCATGCCTGACTAATCTAATTGCCTTCTATGAGGAGATAACTGGTTCTGTGGATGAAGGGAAAGCAGTGGACGTGTTGTTCCTTGACTTTAGCAAAGCTTTTGACACAGTCTCCCACAGTATTCTTGCCAGCAAGTTAAAGAAGTATGGGCTGGATGAATGGACTATAAGGTGGATAGAAAGCTGGCTAGATTGTTGGGCACAAGGGGTAGTGATCAATGGCTCCATGTCTAGTTGGCAGCCGGTATCAAGTGGAGTGCCCCAAGGGTCGGTCTTGGGGCCGGTTTTGTTCAATATCTTCATAAATGATCTGGAGGATGGTGTGGATTGCACCCTCAGCAAGTTTGCAGATGACATTAAACTGGGAGGAGTGGTAGATAAGCTGGAGGGTAGGGATAGGATACAGAGGGACCTAGACAAATGAGAGGATTGGACCAAAAGAAATCTGATGAGATTCAACAAGGACAAGTGCAGAGTGCTGCACTTTGGACGGAAGAATCCCATGCACCGCTACAGACTAGGGACCGAATGGCTCGGCAGCAGTTCTGCAGAAAAGGACGTAGGGGTTACAGTGGACAAGAAGCTGGATATGAGTCAACAGTGTGCCCTTGTTGCCAAGAAGGCCAATGGCATTTTGGGATGCATAAGTAGGGGCATTGCCAGCAGATCGAGGGACGTGATCGTTCCCCTCTATTCGACACTGGTGAGGCCTCATCTGGAGTACTGTGTCCAGTTTTGGGCCCCACACTACAAGAAGGATGAGGAAAAATTGGAAAGAGTCCAGCGGAGGGCAACAAAAATGATTAGGGGACTGGAACACATGACTTATGAGGAGAGGCTGAGGGAGCTGGGATTGTTTAGCCTGCAGAAGAGAAGAATGAGGGGGGATTTGATAGCTGCTTTCAACTACCTGAAAGGGGGTTCCAAAGAGGATGGCTCTAGACTGTTGTCAGTGGTAGCAGATGACAGAACAAGGAGTAATGGTCTCAAGTTGCAGTGGGGGAGATTTAGGTTGGATATTAGGAAAAACTTTTTCACTAGGAGGGTGATGAAACACTGGAATGCGTTACCTAGGGAGGTGGTGGAATCTCCTTCCTTAGAAGTTTTTAAGGTCAGGCTTGACAAAGCCCTGGCTGGGATGATTTAATTGGGGATTGGTCCTGCTTTGAGCAGGGGGGTGGACTAGATGACCTCCTGAGGTCCCTTCCAACCCTGATATTCTATGATTCTATGACTCTATGATTTAAGCCGCTCTTATTCAAGTATAACGAGGAGTTTGGTGCCCCCTTAAAGACTACCAGATTGATTTATTTGTTAGTCGTTAAGGTGCACCGGACTCCTCTGTTGTTTTTGTGGATACAGAGTAACACGGCTACCCCTCTGATATTTATTCAAGTATCTGACCCTACGTGAACTCTCCTCTCTCCAGAATACCTATTGATAGGCTGTAGCTAAAGTGAACGCTGCTGCTCCTAGCTAGCTGCACTAAACATTTGCAATAATACTAGCAAGTCAATGTCCTCCTCCCTCTCCAAAAAGCAAAGGTCAAAACTTCCCATTGACCAAGACTTAGACATTGCCAAGCATATTGACTCTTCGTATGGTTGAGATAAACACGATAAAGAGTTTAAGTTTCCCAGACCTCTGAGCACTCGTTCACAAGTTCAAGGGTTTTACATATTGCAGTAAGCACTGTGGCTAATGGCACTGGCTGTAAACAGATATGACAGCTCAACTCAGCTTACAGCAGGGCAGCCTCCACCTTAGATCTAAACATAGCTCCCACAGGAATCAGTGTAGCTGTTGTTTTAAGCCAGGGGTGGGCAAACTTTTTGGCTCGAGGGCCACATAGGCGTTAAGAAACTGTATGTTGGGCCAGGTAGGGAAAGCTGTGCCTCCCCAAAGAGCCTGGCCCCCACCCCCTATCTGCCTCCTCTCACTTTCTGCCCCCAACTGCCCCCCTCAGAACTCCCAACCCATCCAACACCCCCCCCCCCGGCTTCTTGTCCCCTGACTGCCCCCTCCCGGGACCCCCGCCCCAACCGTCCCCCAGGACCCCACTCCCTATCCAACCCCCCTGCTCCCTGTCCCCTGACTGCCCCGACCCCTATCCAGCCCCCTGCCCCGTGGCAGCCCCCCCTCCCAGGGATTCCCATGCCTATCCAAAGCCCCCTGTTCCCCATCCCCTGACTGCCTCCCCCTCCAAAACCTCTGCCCCATCCAACCGCCCCCTGCTCCCTGCCCCTTATCCACCCGGCCACCCGCCCCCTTACCATGCTGCTCAGAGCAGCAGGAGCTCGCCGCCTGGCCAGAGCCAGCCACTCTGCCCATGCTACCTGGCTGGAGAGGCGGGCCAGAGCGCTGGCAGCACATTGAAGCTGCAGGAGCTAGCCTCCCTAGCTGGGAGCTCAAAGGCCAAGCAAGACAGTCCAAAGGGCCAGATGTGGCCCACAGGCCATAGTTTGCCCACCTCTGTTTTAAGCAAATTTTATGCAACTTGTGGAATGAAATCTAGTGTAGTTCCATTTAATATCTGATACCTTGCCTACAAGGGACTACATCCTGCTCTTCCAAGGGAATGGTCTCTGGGAGCTAACATGTTTTTTATCTAATTAAATATATCTATGATCCTTTTTAAAAAAAGTTGGGGAAGGGAAAGAGGGGAAAATACCTGATCAATAAGGAATCCAGATTCTGTCTAGTAAGAGTTGCTCTCCCCGGGATTGCTTAGAAGTGCACAAAAGCATTAATAAGACAGAAAGAAAAACGTTAGCTCAATGGGAGGAGCAGTTATCATACCACATCAAACTCCACCCTTATTGGCCATTGCTCCTGTTTGGTTGCTGCTTCACGTCACAGGTAAAACAGTTGCTTGTGCTTTCTCAAAAGGGGCTGTCCCCAGAGCTGACACGTAGCAAGAGAAGAGTCCTACAGCCCACTCATTAGCACTGAGGGAGCTTTGTCATTTTTTGTTCTATGTTTATTTTCCCTGCAGATAAATTCCTCGATGCATTAACGAGGAGACGATACTCTGGGAGCCTAGAGTATCTCGCCTAGAATTAACTTGCCTTCTCCCTAGATGTGAGCAACTATTACAGCTATAGTGAATCTCATCATGGCTGCCAGGATACTTGGGCAACAATGCAAATCATTAACCGAGTACGACAAGCTGTCAGCCCTTTATATTCAGTTCCACAGTACAGCTCAGGAAGAGGTCCTCATTAAATCCCAGTTTACCCATTATTAAATCAACAAGTTCTTTTGGCAACGAGTAGGATTTGCTAAAACCTGCTAGCACGATATAAAATAGAGATATTAGCAAGACAATTAAAATCATTTCAAACTATTTAACAATATCTTGAGGTTCCAACTTGGAAAGCTGTTCTTTGCTACTGATTTAGTAAATGTCATATACAGTGCACTGGTTTTATTATCAGAGATAAATAGGAAATGATAGTAAGTAGAAGCAGAAGGGACAAAATTGAGAGCCTTACACTGTCATAAACACCCCCACAAATGAAAAACAAAGCCATCTAAAATCCTAAATTGCTTTCTGCCCTCTTATGGTGGAAACTGGAATGATCTCTTCTTGTTTGAAAGGAAAGAGCTATATGCCATCTTTTATTGTAGGAGATGTCATAGCTGGTTGTGTTCAAGGGCATACACAGTACTACAAAATTTTAGTCTTGCTGTACTCATTTATTTATTTGTAAATGGAAAATCTTACCCCTTTATTTGCTCTTGCATATGGACTGGAAAAAGAAAGTTTGAGAGAGAGAAGATAGGTTAGGTAATTTCTTTTACTGGACTAACTTCTATGGGATATCAATTTTCAAGCTACACAGAGCTCTTCTCAGATCAGGGGAAGCAAGCAGAGTGTCTGAGCTAAACACAAGTTGGGACAGATTGCTAAGCAGAAGGGGTGAAGCAATCATTATGCATAAAAGGTTCGAAGTGGGCAATTAAGGGTACAGGCAGTGTGGTGTGTTGCAAATTATTGTAATAAGCCATAAAACAAGTGTCCCTGTTTAAGTTCATGGCTTTTGATATGTAGCAGAGTTATGAAATCCTCACATGCTTTTCGCCCCTCACACTGGAACAAAACACTCAGGAAATCTACATAGAAATCATGCAGGAAACCAAACACTATAAAAAAAAGGAGCCACCGGACTCCCTGCTGCTGTTTTTTTTAAAAAAAAAGCTACTGACAGCCATCCAACTTAAAAAGTGGAACCAGTTACAACAACTCCACAACCCATACATAGCTGCCTTTCTCAGATACATACTAAGTAATGCACAATGCTCAGAATCCACCCAAAATACATCACCAAACATAAATTTATAACTCTGCTAGACACCAAAAGCCATGGATTTAACAGGGGCACTGATTTTGTGGCTCATTACAACAATTTGCAACACACCACATTACCTGCTACCTTTAATTGTTCATTTCAAAGCCTTTCTGCCGAACAATCTAATCCCCAACTGTCCATCTCATTTCAAGTGACTGCCTCCAACAATTACCCTATTTGCTTAGCAATCTGTCCCAATTTGCATTTAGCTCAGACCTTCTGCTTTCTTCCCCAGATCTGAAGAGGGGAGCTGTGTAGTCCAAAAGCTTGTACCTTTCACCAACATAAGCTGGTCCAGTAAAAGATGATTACCTCAGGGACCTTGTCTCACTCATATCCTGGGACCAATACGGCTACCACAAGACTACAAAGTATAAAGCAGATCATTTAAAAATGAGCCCTCCAGTATTGGTAACCACAGCATTAAACAAATCAGGAGCCAGGCACCCCAAAATTATGGAATTTACTTAAAAATAATAATTTTTAATCTTGATATTGGACATCTCTGTTTTTTGAGTCTTTAGCATTCATGTTTTCTAGCTTTTCTCTGCAACCATGAGGGCTAGGAACTTAATTTTTAAAAATTAAAGCTGAAATGTTCACACAGTAACATGCCTCCAGAAGCCAGGGCTTTAAGAAAAACACCAAATATCTCAAGATTCATGTTAAAATCACTAAAACTGGCAACACTGACATGGAGCATGTTTCTCCCAGAAAATAGAGGGATGATCTGTTTGTTGAAATGGCCCTGTCACCATACCATCTGACATTACGTTTAATGACACTCTCAGAGATCTTTTCCTTTCCCCAACCATTTTGGATCTCACCCTTGCAGCCTCACTTAGCAACACTATCCTTCCTGCTGAATAGAAATGAATTGCATAACTGGCTGCACAGTTGCACCCTTGAAGGAAACAAGGCACTATCTTTTCCACAGAGGCTGAGTGTGTTACTTCTGCAGCTCACTGCCCCTTGTTGATGAAAACATCTATTCGCCTAATACTGAATGCCTTGAATGCACCCTGTATTAGCTATATAAGAAGATTCCAGGAACGCCACTCTGAAGCCTAAAATGTCTGAGTTGAGTCCGTGTGTAGTGAAGTTATAAGCATGATTGAGAGCTCTTTTTGTTCAGAATATCACCAGGTTGAATCATCAATAGGTTTTGCAATCTGTTACCATCCAATTTTTAAGTTCTTAGCCATTTTGACTTTATGCATTATATCTGTACAGTGTGCAGTGACAATAAAGCATGTCTCTATGTCATGCCAAGAGTTCTTGATATCATTGTGATATCAGAGGTAATTCAGCTAATCACCATCCTTACTCTACAACTAATTTGCATGTGACAATTTCATTGGTTGCATGAGGGAGACTGCACAGATGGTGGATTGCTTGACCCAGCTGCCACCGCATGTGTCCCTGTGCCACCCGCTCAAATCCACACAACTATCCCAGCACAACCAGCACAAATCAACACAACCATCAACATAACACAATCGGCATAAACAATCACCCCAACACACACATCCTCTCCCTGCAGCACACGCCCTTTATTTGCCACCCACACAAATCTCCCAGCACAATCCCCTCTAGACACAAATTAACACAACCACCCAAACAACAACATAACCAACTGTGATGCTGTATGATTTAAGATGACCATTGATATCATTGTTGTTACCACTGCTATACAATTGCTACAAATCTTATGCAAAATATGTCATGTTAGGTATTATATGTATGTATCATCTTTGTGTCTAAAGTTACGAATATTTGCTATGTAGTTGTATCTCAAACATGTGTTTTGTTCTTGGGTTACGCTCACAAGGTAGTTTTACATCCCATCTAGCCAGCCCAGTGTTGGTGAACCATTCAATTGTAGATGGACCATTCAGGTGGTGATGGGCCATTATGGGAGATCAGCTCTTCAGTGAGTCTTCCTGTGGGTGCCTCAGACAGCCAAGGGACAGTGGCCAGCCCTGTGATTCAGCAAAACATGTAAGGTCATGTGATAAGGACATGTGACTTCAGACTCCATCTTTGTCAGTAACTTTCCATACACGGGGGCTGTGGGCTTTGTTTGGGACAGTAAATTTCCATGCACGTGGCAGAGGATATAAAAGACCATTGAGCCATCTCTTTTTGCCTCATTCCTGCTCCAATTCTCTGGACTGTGGATTTACAACTAAAAGAAATATTTTGAACTATGGACTGAGGACCTTCCAATCTTTTGGAAGTTACCAGAGAGACTTTTGCAAGTCAGCAGTCTATTCCATCACTGCTATGATCCAGATCTATGCACATGGAAAATAATTTGTATGTATATGATTATTTAACCATTCAATAACTCTCTTCTTTTCTTTTATTCATAAAATCTTTGGATAGTTTACCGAGGATTGGCTGACAGCATGATATTTGGGTAAGATCTGAGATACAAAGTGATCTGGGGTAAATGCCTGATCCTTTGGGATTGGTAGAACCTCATGTATGGGGAAATGGGTATTCAGTAACCTTTCATTATGTTGGGAACACTGGGGCATGGCCACTAGATAACTCGAGGGGATGGAAGACCACGAGTGTCGATGAAGCCCCCTCGCACTAGGCCCCGGTGTCCTTGCCCCCCCCCCCGCCTGGAGGCACTCGCAGCAGCTCTGCGTGCTAGGCCCAAGTGTCCTTGGCCCCCCCGCCTGGAGGCACACACAGCAGTTATGCTGAGAATCTGCAACAGTATGTTGCAGAGTCAGACTGCCTGAAACTAAGCAAGGCCAAACAGGGGAGATATGGAAGAACAATGCTGAATAAAGCAGCTTTATGTATAGTTTAACAAATGATACAGAGAATCAGGGAACTAGCTGGGAACTGGATTGGCTGGCTATATGGATACTTGGAGCAGCTTGCTATTGGATAAGTATGCTGGGAAAAAGGATGTATAAAAGCCTGTGTAACTTCCTGCTCTGTTGTACAGGATTTGAGATTCAAATCTCCCTGTACCTTTTTGAAGCTTCAAATAAACTTTTCTGCTTCTCCACCCCGTTGTGATTATTGGGTGTAGCACACCGGGTAATGAACCAACTCAAGCTGTTGTTCAGCCTCTCGGCACTGGGTGCCAGCAACAATTATATTAGACTTGTTTGTCTGGATGGGAGCCAAGGGCTGGAAGGCCGAAAGGGGACTGTGTTTGGTTTCTTGTAACCAGCATGGTGCTACGGAAGCTCTTTTGATACTGGTTTGGTGAATCTAATTATAAAATAAACCACCAGTTTAGTTTTTGGGGGATTGTCTGCCCTGTTTCATGCAGTCTGCCCTCAATGTGGTCCCTCCCAGGCATCCAGTCACTCCAGCATATACTTGGGATCCATGGTCTGTTACCATCCAGTTTTGAAGGTCTCAGCCATTTTTGG